ATAGAATGGAGAACAGGCTTGTTTTGTTTGCAAATTATATGACAGTGAAACTTCTTTTTTACACAGAAGCTTCATTATCATTGTTATTTCATATGTACTGAACCTTCTGCGTCATCAGAAGGTGAAGTGAACATATTGAAAACAATTGGAAGACCTTACCCTGTTCTAACACATATTTACACACTAATTATTGGTTACATACGATTTTTGTTAAAAAAAAAATGTCAATTGAGAAAGTTATTCTGCCAGCATTTGTTGTTGTGTAATTACATTTCTTTTTATCTTACCAGAATTTGAACAAAATGTTATATTTTGGGTAACTTTATGTAATATTTGAATACTACATCAGATGTTTTAATTAGCTATCTGATAGTAGCTGTTTCTTGGATGGTTACTTTCTACTTGAGAGAATATATTTGGAAGTAGTGCTACTCTTATCTCAGTATAATTTGTGTGTTCCCTGCCTTACTCTGCTTAGATGTGAAGGAGATGTGATGAATATTTGTGACACGCTAATTACTTTTTAGTAAGGTGCTCTGAAGGTTGAACCAAGAGTTTATTTTCAGCAAATCTTAAAATCAATCTGGTCGGCTGAGCTTAGCAGGAGAGCAAAGGGTCTCTGGAGATGAAAGGTCAAATTTCAAAGGTGTAAAAACATAAAAAATATTTTTTAATCGGTTGCTCCAGGTTCCCTCACCAAAGCATCGACATAGATATGCATTCATACCCCTTAACTGAAAAACAGGCTCTAGTTCTTTTAATTTTTGGCACTTGAAGAGAACGGAGGATTTCCTGCAAAGCATCGATTTCAACTGATATTGCTCCGTCAAGCTTTTGTTCTCTCCCTCTTTATGTTCATCTCTTTTAAATGTATGTATTTGTTGGAATTTTTGTCTCTGAGACGGAAACATTTGCACTATAACTGTCTGTACTTCTGTCTCTTTCCTTCTGTGTGAACTTGATGAGGTGGATTTATGGAGTCTCAGAGGGATTTAGTCTCTGCAGTTCCTGTCTCTGAGTTTGTTAGTTTTCCAGGATGATAGACTGTGCTGAGAAACCATGATAGCTTAGATTTTCATCCCTATAGCTTTTCTCTCCCTCTCCAGGGAGACCAGTGACAAAAAGTGAACACTCTGTCAACCCTCGTGGAGATGGATGAAAATTCAAAAATAATCCCCCCCACCCCCAGCCTACCGCTGTGGGGAAGAAACTTAGGATTTTACAAAAAAGGTTTTTATGCCAGCAACTGGTCTGATGTCTGATTATATTTAGTTTTAATGTATTATTGGCGCCTTGAGCCGCTTTTATCTCGATTTGATTTTAAAAACCAACTCCAGGAACAACTTAACTGACTGAATTAGAGCTTTAATAAGATTGGAAGAGACAGAAATAGGCTTCTCCTCATATCTCCTGCTTTAACCTATTAATGAATGACATCGCAAGTAACTACCTAACTGGCCCTAAGTTACAGATAGACACAGTGGGGTGATATTTGGAATAAAATATATTCAGATTGCTACGTTTTATCAATATTTCAGCAAAAGAAACCTATAAATAAAAAAGGCAAGTAAAAATTATTAGAAATTAATTTTGATCTAGTTTTGAATTAGAGCTAACAAATAGATGCATATCTAAAACAAAAAAATAAAGATCTAATCTCATAATCATATTTACTTTTGTTACCCATTATAACAAAAAGCAAAAAACAATAATTGTTTTACTGAAACACATTTGTATAAACAACTTGTGACAAATCCTCCCTGTACGTTTTTCAGACTTTTTCCTAACATGTTTAGAGGAAATGGCACAATGCAGGACAAATCTTTTCAAATATCCAGAGCTTTTTAGAACGTTAGAGACAAACAGGAAAGAAATAAAGCTTACTCACCCCAGGGTGCCGCTTGACGTGCTCTGCAACTACCCGAAACATGAGGGCTCAAGTTTACAGAGCTTTACGAGGTGAGGATAAAATAAAGTTATTCCAAGTCAACCGTTTAGGCCAACTAAAAGCTTCTGGTGGCTGTGCACAAAGCAGGATTTGGACCTGTTGCTCTCTACATATGGAGCAAGACAAGGGGGGGTAGAAGGAGGAGGGATCAGACAGAGGCTGCTTTCATCTGATTAAAGCTACTGTTGTTCCCCAGTTGGCTCATTCAGCTCTGATGGATACAATAAGAGCTAAACCATACATGTATCAGGCCTAAAACATCATGGTTTGATATTTCAGGAAAGGCTGATGTTAAGGTGTTCATTTAAAGGATGTTTAGCAGACAGCAGCAGAGAGCTCAGGGGATTTTAACTCTGACATCCTTTCTCTTTATTCCCAGTCTTATGGGACACAAGTAGAGGAAATAAAGGATTTAGTTTCTTCAGAAAGGCCAAGGGGAATATATCTATGTTTGAAATTTCATCAGAGATAGTAACAGGAAATTGACAAATAAAATAACTTGTTTTTGTGAAAATTTCTCAGACAAGATACACAAGCTTTTCAGATAATTAGCATTCTCTCCAGAAACCCTCCTATTTAAGACTCCATGCATCATGTTTGCAGCTGTCGGCTTGGACACTCAATCCCTGTTTCTGCACCTTTTCAGGCTGACAGCCAGTCAACGTTGCTGCAGACCTACTCAAACTCTGAGTGTTTGGTAACATAGCAACACAGCTTAGTGACCATTATTTCTGGGGGAAAAACACACTCAAAGGCTTTGCTGCTTGTGTGTTTCAAATTAACATTTTCCCAGCAGGTGCAGGGAAATCTATACTGACTAACCGGTAAAGAAATCTGAGGGACGTAAAAAAGAAAAGATGCATAGAAGGGAAACACCTCATTCAGCTTTATTACAAACACTGCTGAGAAATGTCTGTCAGTAATTGATAACAAAGAAAAACTCAGAAGATCGTCAGACTTAAAGCTCACTTATGTGAAAAACACTTTGTCCTCCCAGTCTGCTCAATGAACCAGTGTCTGTGATTCATTTCCAATCCATTTAATTGGATGTGAAGACAAATAAAATCCAATTTGGCTTGTAAGTGACCCTCTTTCAACTTCAGAGATGTTTCATCCCATCCTGTGACATACCACAGCGACCACAGAGGAGTGCTCTGAAAAATAGAGCACAGTTGGTCATATGAGCATTGGTCAGGGATGTTAGTGATTTTTTTTTGGGTGATGCAGAATCAAAAATGTTGGGAATTCGTTTCCCAAATTGCATTGCTGTCTAGCAAGATGATAGGACATTAATGGATCTCATTTGGGTAATTTATGTATTAACACTTTAAAACGTACTCCAAGTTTTTCTGCATTTATTAGGGCCGCACACTTATTTCCATTCCAGTGGAAGACATTGTTATAATTAAAAAGAAAATTTGCTGGTATATATATATATATATATATATATATATATATATATATATATATATATATATATATATATATATATATATACAGTAAATTACAAATTAATTTTTTTTTTTTTTACAAATCTTTCAAATTGCAGCAAAATGATACATAAAATACATTGCATGTTGTGGTTGCATTAGAGCAAAATGTAGAAAACTGGAAGGTGTGTTTGCCCACCATGCTAAGGGTCAGATGTATGCATACACTCTGCATGTTGGGAATTAACTCTGCAAAGATAACCGGGTTTCCCATAAGAAACAAGACCTTATGGCTTTTAAAAGAAAAGCTCAGTGGTTTCTGTCTCACCATTTAACTTTGCCTCTCCTCTCCTGCACAGGTCTGTATGACATTAATTCATCCCTATCTGCTGCTCCTGCTGACCTACAACCCTACAGCTCACAAACAAATCCTCCTAATTGGACACTGGCCAACTCGGTGGCAGCAGCCTTGTTTGGAAACACAAGCCCCAGTCAGGGCAGTATTCCCTCTGCACTGTGTGTTCTGGAAACACATAATGATGATGGTGATTGGTGCTAGCAGGGAATATGCTGTTTAACAGGGCAACATTCTGCACCTTGCCATCCCTTAGACAGGTGAAAATAAACATGCAGAACACTGTGAAACAAAAGGATAATTTTGTAGAGATGCGATTCACTTAAGTTTAAAATGTGTCTCCTTTTAATCTCTATGCAGTAATATTCAAAGAATCATGTAGAAGTCACAGGCATGCTGCAGCTCCTATTATCAGACCCTGCTGTGGGAATGGGGGCCTCTCTAAAGCGTGTGTGTTTGACTGCCACAATGCTACATGAGGAGAAGCAGAACAGGCTGAGTGCTGGTCTTAACCTTGGTCCCTGACACAGTTTTCCACATAATGCAATTAAACCCCATCAGGCCGGCTGCATGATCCCCAAGGAACAATGAAATCCATGCATCTGCTAGACGGCTTTACGATCCAGTCAGTCAGATATAAACTGTTTCTCTTTGACGTCAGTGGTGATGTTAAACCAAAAACTAAAATCAACATTTTCACTCTTGCATATTAGACTGAAAGCTTGTTTATCTGTAGTTTTATAGAGCAGGCAGTTTCCATCAGTTTTGTGTTGTCTTTCGCCATCTAGTGATGACAAGTATTAACTGCAACATATTATTTCTTTATTCCATATAAAAGGGTTGGTTCTCCTTGATAACAGTGACATGATGAATGGACCGATGGTTTTAAGAGGGGAAAAGAAACTCAAGCTCTGACTTACAGGTTCAGAAAATGCTATGTTTTTTTTAAAATAGCAAAAATAAATAATCTGAATTCAATTTGAGATCATTCAGACAAACAAGAGTAAGCAAAGGCAGTGTGTCTGGTTTATAGGATTATTATAATTTGTGGTTTATATGCTTGCTGCTCCTCTGTAGTCAGTCTGCTGGCTCTATGGCTGCAGAATGTATTGTATTGATCATCAAAATATATTCTCCTAAAAGCAAAGACTGTATAATTGTGTTTCATTCCTAAAAAATAATCTATGTTCTTATATAACATTAAACAGATTGTATAATAATTAATGTAAAGTTTAAAAAAAACGGGCTTAAAGGTAAAAGAGACTCAACTTTATTTAAAAAAAATATCTGTATCAACAGGATCTTACAAAACAATGTATTTTTATTTACAAAAACAGAAAAAAATGTTTTCACAAGACCTCAAAATGTGGTCACCTATCAATATGAAAGGTTTTGACCAGAATTCCTACAGACGTGGATGAATTTACATCCTGAGGAGGAAAGTCTCACTTCAGTCCTGAATAACCTCAGTATTTCAAGAGGCGACCATGGTGATGTCAACAGCATCTGTGGATGAGGATGGAGCAGATGTGACTGTTGCTACAGCTGCAGATGCTCCTGTCGGCGTCTGAGAAGCCAAAGGCGGCTCGGTGGGACGAGCAGGTACCGGTTTGGCGATCTTCAGGGGAACGAAGACATTAGAGGCGCAGTGTTCGCTCAGATATTCACCGCCTTTCTCTTCGTAGTCCTGCCTGCTGATCCATCCTTCTGCTCCCGCTGCTGCTGGATGCTCCAACGCCCAGTCCCGTGCTCCGTACCATGCGTCTAAGCTTGGCCGGGTTGCCATGGTTACCTGGGAAAAAAATTAGGTTTTCCCTTAGTAGAGCAAAAGGTTATCTCCACCCAAAAAAAAAATCTATATATTTGGTTGTTCCAGTAAAATTCTGTAAAGATCCAGAGGCTGTTAGAGAACATTAGAGATTAACAGCATCAGGAAAAGGAAGCAGATCGGTCAGAGAGAAAAACTTTAGAGAAATTTAAAGCAGGACTTGGTAACAAGAGCCTTAAACATCTAACAAACATTACTTTAAGACAGCAAACCTACAGAAACAACAGAGAAACAGTGAATATTTGGAAGCATCAGAGACCCACAGCTTAGAGAGGAATATATCACCACAACTATTGGTTAAATAGCTGCATGGAGAAAATGACTGTTGCAATGCTGACATGTTAGGAAATTAGTCACCAGAAAGGTAGACTGAAGTAGCTGAAATGTTAACTTTGAGCTACAGGCAATTTTTTTTTAGCAAAGCATAAAAAAAGCTGGTCAGACTGATTAAGAAGGTGGATTGAGCTAAATAGAGAAGAGCGCTGTAAGAAAACCTGTTAGAGGCTGACAAAGATTTACCACTGTTTAAGGATCACCCTCCAACCGGACATGAGCTCTAAACATGCCTCAAGAGATAATATTGTCAAAATAATTCACACCCACTTTGACTCAAGCAACATCCCTTTTTTCTACAGCGTTCAGTATAGCATTGATCCAACTCTGCGTAGCTTCAACTCTTCTAGGAAGGCTGTCCTTAAGGTTTATGAGCCTATTTATGGGAATCTTTGATCATTCTTAAAAAAATGCATTTTTGAGGTGATAGACTGATGTTAGGTGGGAAGGCCTGGCTCTCAGTATCTGCTCTAATTCAACCTAAAAGGAGTTCTGTTGGGTTGAGGTAAGGACCCTGCAGCCTCAAGGTCTCTATGGATCTTGTGCAGGTTCATGTTGGCAGAAAAAGGGGCCATCTCCAAATTGTTCCACTCATTTGGGAGCATAGGATTGTCGGAAATCTCGTTCATTTAACTGGAACTGAAAGGCCAGGCCATAATCCATAAGAACATCCCCACAGCATTATCCCCCCTGCACCAAACTTTACACTTAATATTATACAGTCAGAACAGTAGCATTCTCCTGTCCGAGTGCCTAGGTGTTTGATTTCATACACTCATGAACATGGGAGAGAAAGGAAAACTCCATTCTAAATATTTGGATAGATAAGTATATTATTTGGGCTATTTAGTTCCCAAAGGTAAGGTTGAGATCAAAGCATATTGATCAGTTAGTTTCACCCAATCCCAATTAAAATCAAACCTTATTAAGAATATCTGATCACACATTAAGATTAATGCTCAATAAGTCCCCTGAATCTGGTCTCATTGCACTTGAACTATTTTAAAATGAAAAAAAAAAGAAACTTTTAGTCTCAAAATGTGTAAATCTAGTAGTTATACTCTAAAAAGCTCACAGCTATAAACGCAAAAACATAGAAAGACCTACCAAAGGTCAACCTATGACTCATATAGAGCCTGAGATACTGAGAGTAGCATGGATATATCCATTTGGAATAAATAACATATCTTTGAAATGGGTTAAATTGTGATTTTCACGAATCTCACTGTGTTTTGCGAAGACAAAAAACACACATCACTCCAGAACAATGAACAGGAAGGCAAACAACAAACCATTTTTTGTGACAACTTATGTTATGTTTCTCTGACTTTAAAGACATAACATGTAAAAATGTAAAAATGCAGAAAAGAATCAGATCTTTATAAACATTTCACAACCCATTAAAATCCCTTTTAGGCAGTTAAACGTGTAAAAAGTTAAACAATTAACTGTTAATAGTATTTTTCTCCCCTTTTTCTATTGAGAACAGTTTTGTTGTTAAGATCAGCTTTATTTCAACTCGTTTCTTTATTTTTACAGAAAATGTTAAGTGATGTTTGTGTTACCTTGAAATGTGACTGGAAGGGCCTGAGTGCCAGCAGCTCCCTCTCCACCCTCTCCTTCATGCCAGGGTACTGCATGTTCCCACCAGTCAGAAACACATTGCTCACCATCGCCTCCTGCTGCTCAGGCGTGTACCTTTTTGTGGTACAGAGGAAATAAAAAAAACGTTAAAGTTAGATGAGATCTAAGAGAATTGTAGGACTTTTTAGTACAATGTGTTACCAATATAACTGTGGAAACATTTATCAAATAAATATACAAATTCATCAGCTGGCGTCAGCCTATTTAGCCTACAGTGGACTCATGCTACTGGTTTTTTTGTTGTTGTTTTTCTTTACCTCGCCAGGACATATTGCAGTGTCTCCATCAGTCCCATCTGATCCTCTCCAATCAGAGAAGGCTGGAACAGAATCTCAGGACAGCGCAGCCGCTCCGTCCCCACAAAAAGCTGGTGGTACTCCGCCATGTTGAAGGCAGGCTAGAAAAGAGTTCATTCAAGTTTATCCTTCAGGTTCGGTCTAAATATATTTTTTAAAGCAAAGATCTGCTCAAAAACTAAAAAAAAAGAAATTGACCAAATGTCTATTTGCAGATCTTTATCCCCACTGCCACAGTCATTGTGCCGTTAATGAGCCTCAGCATATTTACGAGAGGATTCCCAGTGCCACTACCTGAACAACACTGGCAGATTTTTCTGACAGTGGATCCTCTGGGAAGTCTGAATCCATCTGTCCCACTCCGTCTCCTTCCTCCATGTGCTGCTCTAACTCCGACACCTGGCAGGGAGCGAGAGAACAGCCTCAGGCAACAAGTCGGCCACAGATAGTCCAACCAAACACATCCTGCACATTCATTAGGAATCTTAACAAAATAAAAATGGCTGAAGCATCCACATTTTCAGCATTCAGTGCAATCTGATTGCCACAATCCATTCTTAATCAAACCGGTGTTTCTATATTTACACTTGGAGTTAATATAGAAACACTGCTCAGTATACAGTACTGTACTTTGATATTTAGCTAAAGCAAAAAAGTACCTATACTATTACAGATTTCTTCTGTCAAACTTAAATGTTCAAGTTCATAAAAAAGTCTAACAAAACCCGAGTAATATAGAATTACGTTTTAAAATTCTACTTTTACTTATTGAGGAAGGAAAGTCATGTAAATTAACCTTTTAACGTTCATTGAAAAAAATATTTCCTAACTCAAACCTTATAATTTGTTATCCAGTGCTTATAACTACTTTATAGACAGCCTGCCAGGTATTGGCATATGTCCCAAAGTAAAATAAAAAAAAAAGGCTGTTTTTGGGGCATCTTTAAAAAGAATCACAGCCTTATTCTATGTATTGTTCATAACTGAACAACCTTGCCGACCGTCCTCTTCTAAGTCATCTTAGAAGTTTTCTAATTTGTTTAAGCCAAGAGTCTGTGCCGTCCATCTATCTGTGTTTTATCTAGACCCTGATGAGTGGGCCGGTGCCCGAACATGACGCAACAGGAAGGGTCCATCTTGTTGCAAAACAGTTTATAATCATGAAATTCTACAAAATAAATGTAAGTTGAAGCATGAGAGGCTCTTTTCCTTGGACCTAGGAAGCCAGAGCCAAACTTTTGAACAGCAGCCAAACGTTGTAACCCTCCTCTGCTCTAATCTCAGCATAGTCAGACGAGTTCAAAGCAACATCCAAACGCAGAGTTGTCTTTAAGCCTGCCGGACGGAACCTCCAGACAACACATGGCTGTGGAGTCTGATGTACGGTGGACTTTTTAGGACAGCTCTAAGGGGGAAAAAAGCAATGAGTTCTCATGTCTTTGGAATTGGTGGAGCTCTTTGTTTAAATTCAGTGAAGTTTTGATCAATTGAGCAGATGTAACAAAGCTACTTACCTGCCTAAAAAACATCCTTCCTTTCATCTCTCTTGGTTCATTGCAGGTTAAAGTGGATTTCTCAGACTATAATATATTATGCTTACTATGACCCAAAAAAAATGTGTTATGTGCGTCAGTAAACTCACATCTGCTCTGCTGAATTAAGAAAAGAGCTCCGTAATTTCCAAGGACTTGAGAGCTCACAGAAGTTTTCCCTAAGACTTGATCACTAATTTCCTGATACCTGAAAGTATCAGATACCAAGGTTAAGGATGTCCTAAAATGTAAACCGTATCGATTGTGGTGTGCTTAATACCAAGGCATCTAAACCTTTGAATATGTAAAGCTGCTGGGAGATGAGCTTATCCATGCACTGTTCTTCATCTAATCTAAGTTTTTAGGAGTTTTAAGAAGAAGCCCTTCTTTGAAATATGCTTCCAGATGCAGTCTGCGAGCCTAGATGATGAAAAGGATCAGAATTTAATGATGAAGGACAAAAGAATCCTGAGCAGAAAATCAATACGTCACACCATAATCACAATACAAATTTCATCTATAGTTCAAACCTAAGCTCAAATCTAAAGCGTATAAAAGTGGTGAGTTCTGGTTAAATAAACCGAAGTGAGTTAGAAAATAAGATTCAAATAAGCAGAACATAAACACAGATTCCTTTCGCCATCAATAGTTAAGCAGCAGAACCCGTACCTCCATCTTCCCATCTGCTCCGTCGCTCTGCAGCAGCTTCAGCCTCCCCTGCTCCACCGCCAGCTGCAGCTTGTTGATGTAGGACTGCAGCTCTTCGGCTGAATCCATGTTGAGCTCCATCAGGCTTTTGTGAAACTGATCCAATAAGCCATCCTCCAACAGCTCCTGTACGCACACGACTCTATGAGCACCATGTTGCATAATAACTCAACACTGTCTGCTTTCAGAAGTGCAGTATCTTTTGTTTTTTAGTTTCAGATGCAGCTCTGTAATCATAGTGTACCTTAGAGATGTTTACATTTAATGCTTTAGATTAAAGAAAGGAATCATAGAGCAGCAGATTTGTGCAACTGGTCAATAACACAAGTTTAAGTGTTTGGGTTTATGTTGGAATACTTTAAGAAAATGATAGATTTAAAGTCTCACTTACTTGAACAGCCAAAAGTCTGTCCAGCCTCTCTTGATCCTGCTGCAGCTTCTCTTCCCGCCGCCGAGAGTTGATCTCCTGAAGTCTTCGCAGCTGCTGAGCGCGCCTCTCTTGCCGCTCCTCCACACTTACAGAGCCCCCGGGCACCTTCCCAGAGAAGGGGAGCTGCATACGGTGAACTTCCCGCTCATAAAACTCTGGGCAACGCCACTTTTCCAGCTCTGTAGGAAAAAGAATTATAAAAAAGAATAATAAAAAAAAGGCTGCAAGTATGCTCATTAGTTTCCTACCTTCATGATAATCTACGGCGGTGTAGCTGTGCTCATGCAGCAGCTCCTCCATGCGGCTGAGAGTGATGGCAGCGAGGTGACCAGGATATTTCAGCTGCAGGAGGCGCTGCAGGTAGGAGGCTGCCTGACTCCCAGCCACATTCACACGCTTACAGTTCACAGCGTCAAACCTGAAGTAGAAAAAAAACACATCCAGTGAAACAGGTGCAACTACAGCGAGGAGAGTGAAACTTAACATGGGCAATGATGTGAAAAGAACAAAAAAAAAAGGAATGGGGTTCCTGCGACTGAAGAGGCTCACCTGCCGTGGATGACAGGCAGGATGTGAGAGCAGTGGTACCCAGAGGACAGAATGATGCCGCTGTGTGGCGGCTGCAGGTTTCTCTGGTTGTTGTTGTGGTAGAAACTGTACAGACCGTCCACACCATAAGAAACAAAGGGGACGCGGTAGCATTCAAAGAGGAGCTCAGACATCATCTGGCGGCAGTGCAGCGGGTTGCAGGGTGCCTCTGTCATCAGGATGGGGTGCTCCACACAGCCCTAGATATGAATAAGGTCAGAGCATTTATTACCTGGGCTTATTTTTCCAGTTTATACTGATATAATGCAAAGGCAGAGACAAAACCCACAGAACATTTTGATATAAGTAATGCTACAATCGCTCAGGAGTGGCATCAACAGAAAAAGTTTAAAGTTGAAGCCTACAGACATAGTCACTCCTCATTTAAAAAATGAGAAAGAAATGCATACAGAAATGTAGAAATTGGATAAAAAGATAAAGGAATACATAAAATAGTTAATAAACAGATAATGAATTGATGAATAAAACATTAACAAACACTCAAATAAATTAATAAATAAGGAAATGTTTCAATAAAGTGTCCATTTAATCATAGTTATTCAGCATTAATTTATTTCCACTTTTAATCTTAATGATGTCAGTTTTGGTCCTCCATACAGATGAGTGTAACTTTTATTAGCCCTACTTCAGGATGGATCCTGCTGTCTTTTTGCCTGTAGTTTTGAAGTTTAAGCTCTTCAGTTAGACTCTGGGAATTCATCAAGTTCCTTTTTTCACAGGAGAAAACATTGGAGGGACTAATATTCTCTTAATTTCTATTTGAGTTATCCATAATATCGTTGAGAAATAAAATAAAAACATAAAACAGTAAAGAGTAAAAATATGTAAACACCAAGGTAAAGTAGGTCACTAGTATATGGATAGGGATCTTGATTCCTATCCATGGATTTCATCCTGTATCTCACTGACCTCCGAGCTGAGCCCCAGATGAGTGAACACATAGTCCAAGATGAGCTCCTGGATCTCGAAGTTCACCACCACGTTTCTGTCGAACTGGCTCTTGAGCAGCCACCGCAGCGGCTCAAGGTTCGGGATGTCGTTTCCGATCTGGGTCTCGCTGCGGGCGGCCCCTCTGCTGCGAGCCGCCACAGACCTAAAGAGAAGCTGCGGAGAGTCCAGACCTGAAGCCGAAGACGCCCAGCCGGCCCGAGTCTGAAAGGAGCCGTTATCGATGACTATAGGAGAGGCTGCGGGGGTCAGGCAGTGGGCCGGCAGCTCAAAGATCGGATCCGGGGAGGTTTTAGAGTCCTGGAAAGAGAAGATCTGACACACCGGCGGGTCTTTGGAAGCCATGTTTGAAATGCGTCACTACAAAATACGGCCGGGTGAAAACTTCTTCATGTACACTAATTGTTCCTACTTTGTTAAGAACAGTTCCTTCTACATCGGTATAAACATTTCAGATTAGGAGACTAATGTGCGAGGATTACCGTAATTTAGTTGTTCTCAATTTTTTTTTAAATACGTTACTTCTTTATTTAAATGATTGAATTCAAAAGAAAATATTTGTTGTTTTTGTTGTCTGTTTTTTTCTATACTAAAACATAAAATGAAAATATTAAAATAAGATCAAACATAGTGATCCTCTAACGACCTGCTGAACTCTAAACTACCTAAACACAGATTTATACTTTTAGAATTAGAACTTATTAGAATACTAAATTAAGCAAATAGAAGCAAAAAATATAAAATCATAAATGATTAAAAGTAAAATAAAAACATACAACGAATTTTTACTGTGTAATAATACAGAAATAATCAATTTACATGAATATTTTCTATCCATTTGGATGACCGAACCCACCCACAATAGGATTTGTCATAACCACAATATAAAAGATTCTAGAATCATCCAAATGCTGAATACAAGTTTCTTAAATGTACATTTAGTGTGTACATCTCTGCACTAGAAAGTTTATGATTCATTTACATTTAAATCAAAATCAATTAGTTTTTTTAACATGTCCAAGACTCATTACACTTAAATATTTCCTGAAGAGGAAAAATATTTCACTATGCATATGTTTTGCCTTCTGTTTTTGACATATTTCTCCTTACCTTCAGCAGGAAATCTCTTTTTTTATGTAGATGGGTGAGAGGAAACAATGTTTTAAAAAAATAACCTCAACCTTGTTTTATTTACCAAATGAAACCTTATTCATGTGCAGTAGTCTAATTGTAGAAAAAAAAAAAAAAAGAAGAAGGGGTGGAATTTTTTATTTATTTATTTATTTTGAAGCATACACAGTCTAATGAATATAGTCTATCAACCTAAAGCACTATGCATGGTATGGGCATTGACCTTGACCAAGGCATCTTTCAGTAGAACTGAAGTCAGTCCCAGGACTGGCATGGCTATCACTGCCCCTACATAGTTAGGGATAAATTCCAGGGCTCAGCTTTATAGTCATGATAGGGCACTTCTTGCATTTGATTCACTTTGCTCAGGCTACTGGGAAGCCAACAGCCCACCAAATGTTGAAAGGGCAATATCATTGCCATTATGGTTAATATATAATAGAAATTTTACACATTCACAAATAAAATATCACAGAGGATGGTATGGGGGGATGGTCATTAAAGTAGGAGGATGATGTTTAAGATTTTTTTAAGAAGGGGGTTGCCATCCCCTGTCATCCCCCTCGACTGAAGTACTGTTTATCTGCCTAATCCCTTGCAGAAATTCCAACCTTTAATAGTTCTGTTTAGAGGAAAAATTGCTGGTCCAGCTATAAATGACTGTTTTGCTTTGTTTTATTTATGCTCTTTAAAACTGCAACAAAGTTTCTTGCAGCCTCTAATTACAAATTATTAGCATTTTCCACAGTGCATGAATTTTGTAAGACAGGGCCTTATGTCAATGTCAGGAATAAACTAGATGCTAACATGCCAACCTTATGTTTGAAAGGCATACCAGGAAAGAGCATTTCTGTCCAAATATAACTTTATGGAGTTTGATCATTTGTAAAGTCCACAGTCCTGCCTCTCGCCCATAAACTGCTGGAGATGGACATGGACCTCGCCGCGATCCTGAGGGAAAAAGTGGGAGAAAATGGAGGGTTGAATGAATGTATGCACGGATGGGTGGAAGAATGGATTATTGATATTAAGGATTTTCTGCGCTGTAATCTCAAACTTATCTAACTTTAAAAGAGGGAACCAAGAAGGACTGTGGATCAAGAGGCATGCGTATATTAACAGAAGAGGTTGGCAGTGATTAAAATTTTTTTTACAAATTCACATCTTTTTAGGTTTTGTTTGTTTGTTTGTTTTTGCATGTAATACACGTATGGGAACTGTAAGTCTAGATTTTACCACCAGAGGTCGTACCACACTGATCTGAATTAGACTTGCTTTTAGTACCGTAATACCTAAGCAAGCATGCTTCTGAAGGGAAGAGAGCATTTCATACAGGGACTCATAATCCAGTAAAACATATGTACATCTTCAGAAAATGTGCACTTGTATTTACTCAATATAATTTTCTTTAGTTTTTTATTTTACCAGTGTTAACGGAAATAACTGAAGTAAATATTTGTAGGGCTCTAATAGTTGAGGACTGTGTTAAGACTTTTCAGCAATTATAGGAAGCATTTGGGTCTTTTCTACAAACAAATACTAAAGCAACAGTGCTGTAGACTCTTTGACACATTTCAAGCCTGGTTGTTTAAAAATCTGAAGTTCCTGATTTGTTCCAAAGTATATTTTATTATTAGAAAACAACAAATACAATTATATGCAATGTTTTTAAATAGATAAAATATCCAGAACTTTAACTATTATTAACACAAATTTTCCTTTTGAAACCCTTTTTATTTTTGCATTCTGTCTGTCTAATTGAGCTGAAGCATTAAATCTTTCTCGAGAAATTGCTGCACTTTCCACTGGTTGAAATTCCACATATTTTCTTGGTTCCATTTATCTTAAAACCTTTTTAAAAACATTGTATCATCTAGAGCTGTATTTTCATTTGAATGTAATGATTATAAGATAATCAGGTGAGAAATGGGGGCTTAACCATTGGTTTATTTCCTGGATAGCCCAGATATTTGGAGGAAAGCTGTAAAGTGGGAGGGAAAGGGTGCATGACTGTCGTGTGTGTGATGGTGTATGTATGTCATGGGTGTGTATTGGCTGTGGTTACAGTATGAGGCATGATGTGTCACTGCAACCCCTGCACAGTTCACTGCTCAGGCACAATGCTCTAAGTGACTGCGTCCTCCTTCTCCTGATGCTAATAAGCAGATCTGGGTCACCTCACCCTCTCAAGATACATGCACATAGATACACACACACTAACAAGTGTAGCCTTACCATCCGTGCACACAGATATAAACTGAATTAAGACACCCTGTCTACTTTCTATTTAAACAGACATACACACACACAGTGGCTCCTGGGGGGCTGGATGTGACATGGTGCTGCTGTCTGCATTCAGCGCTCAAGGCTCTCTGCGTGTTGTGCTTGTCATCCAGCAGTGGTGATGGAGCAAGAGGGAACAAACAGCCTACAAGCACTGGGGGATTGCCACGCGTGATGCCAGGCAGCCTCCATTTTGTGGAGCACACTGCTGGTTATCTCTCTCACAAGGAGGAGGAGACACACGCGCCTATTTTTGATGACACGACACTTATCATCTATTCATCGCCTTAAATTATTCTGTCCATTCTCACTATGTTTTATTGCTTTGACTGTACTTAATTCTCACCCCTCAATAAACTATCACCCCCCCCCCTCCAAAAAAGGGAAACAGGCATTGTTTTTTTTCTTTTTTACACTTTTGTGAGAGAACGTTTCAAATATACATCAACAAAATGTATACACCATATTTGTGAAACAGATGAGCAATCATGTTAAAACTCTGTAACATTTGACACGCTGTCTTAATCAGCCCCCTACAGGGATATGTTTTTAGTCTCAATGATATATATTATTGTTCCTTTTCACCAATCTGCCCAACACTTATTGCATATTATTGGGGGTTTAGTTCAATAACCCATAAAAAAACATCTGTTACATTCACTGATGAAAACAATTAATATAATCAAAATATCCGACTGAGTAAATGATTACATTGAAGTCAACCAACAGCAAATTAACTTCTACAGACAACAATCAAAAGGGTTATTATCTGAAGCAGTGGATACATTTCTCCCTATTTGGAGCTTAGAGGATAAGTCAAATAAAATTCAACCATGAACCCCCACCCCCCGTTCTCCAGAGCAGTGACAGGCTTATCTTTGTTCTGTTTATGTGCATCACTATGACAGTAGGTGAATGAAAACAGGAAGAGGAAGTAAAGAACAGGTTTTTTCACTTCTTTGCAAACTAAAGATAATCTGCGATCCTAACACGTGTTTTCATTTGAAACCCACTTCTACTTCGTGCTGCAGAAATATGTAACACACAAGAAAATAGACGAAGCTGACAGATTTTTTTTTTTTATTCCATACTTGAGTGGAATATCTGACATATTTCATGTCATATCAAAAGATATAAAAAAGAAACACTCAAAAAGAAACTTTTCAAGGGGATAATATGTGTTAAGAGGGGGAAAACATGTTCATGTCAGCTGATAAGATGCTGCTCTACAACAAAGATCAAGGGTTCAGTTGCACTTGATACAGATTGTTCACATCTGACCTTACTTTCAGATTAGATTAAGGTCAGTGTACTATTCTAGAACGATTAGGCAAACAGTCATTAAAGCCAGAGCCTTCGATCTACAAGAAGCTGATATCAGAAGCTACCATGTATAAGAGTATTTGAATCTGAACAAAAACATGAAAAATTTGCAGCTTTTAAGGCAGATGTGCTTTATGCCTTTTTGCAAACCAACAAATAAGCAGCAAACTCCATCTGGTTGTTCCTTCTTTCTGTACATAGAAACGGTTACAAATACCAATTCATCCAAACATAGATTGTCTATCAGCTCTGCTCTGGCCAGTTCCCAATCGTGAAGAGCAACAAATCACAGCTAATCACCACGTTTGTTTACCTGTTCTGATCTATGTATTCATGCAATGATTGGAATGATGTAAACTGAAAATAAAAACATGAAAACATATCTATTTTTGTTTTAATAGATTAATCTTCTATTGAATTTATCTAACCTGTGAATATATTTTAAAAACTCAGTTCTTTTTGTTTACTAATATTTTCTGCAGTGTATTACTTACCGGTATTTGGATTTTGGATTATTTTCCTTACACGTTTCAGTCCACAGCTTATCTTAAATTATGACAATGTGTGAGTAAAAAAAGCAATATATAAAAATCATGTCTTCTTAGACATTTTTTTAGAGAGGGGAAAGAATCTAGTCTCAGGCTAAGAAGCTGAGAGTTTTTCGCCCCTCATTTAGATTAACGAATAAATGGCCTTTACCAATATTAACTTTATAATCATTGTATTTTTTTTTTTTTTACAAAGAAAAGCTTTTAATTTTGTTTTTTGTGTGTAGATAACCAATAAGCACATTTTTTAAAGCTGTGATGTCTTGCCCCGCACCTAACTGGAAGCTTTAATTTCCTTCTGCATCATTTTAAGGTATCTCTCTCTTTTTTTTTTTTTTTTTTTGTTCTCTACATACAGGGCTAATGATTACTGAATTTGTATAAAATGATGCAATGTTTATAATCTTAACATCTATTTTCATTTGGGTGTAATCAGGAAACCCTGATGTTTATGTGCAGCCAGATATCAGTTATTACATTTTCCATGCACAAAAAGCAGATATGTAATGGCAACAAAAACAACTTTAGCCCAAGGGTCCACCTTCTCCTAAATCCACCCTTTCTCATTGCTCTACTTTTTTATTCAATGTATTGTTAAAATAAACCTCTTCCTCTTAAGTTTTTTTTTTATCTTAGTTGGGGTTTTTTTTAACCCTTCCTTTGAGCAGAATGAATCTTAAATTCAACTAAAATACAAAAAATTAGGACTGACTTAAATATTTATTTCTACCTTATTACTTTCACAGAAAGCTTCCTGATGAAAAAAAGACCATGCAGAAATGTGGCCTACTGTGGCAGGGAGCAGGGAAAACTAAGGGCGTGTCTTACAGTCGCGATTTGGAAGGGGGAAAAAATAGAGAAAATATGCGGGGGCGTTTGTGTGTAGTTAAATAATTATCTATCTTTATGTTTTTATGTAGGTAATATTTGCCTTCGCACCAAAGAAGAAAGGGGTAATCCCTCCACCCCCCCAAAAAAGAAAAAAAAAATCTCAACGTTTACACATTCAGTCCAATTACAGTGGCCATGGCAACTATCAGAGATTATAGCTCCCAGTCAGTGTTGCACGGCTGTCAGCTTCTGCACATTATAGACCTACACATACACAACCAAACCTCTGCACGCCTAATACACACACTGAGAGGACTCCTTCTTTTCATGGATTTAATCCTCCTGTTCACCAAACCAATCTTAAAGTTCTTTGTCAAAAAAAAAAAAAAGATAATCTTTGTAGCAGAGCTACATTGTCATTGACTATCAGAGGTACCCTATCGCTATTTAATGCTTTATCATTTTGTAGAATTGTGTGTTTATCTCAGGATTGATTTTCATGTTTTTGTGTGTGTGTGTGTTTTCTTTTTTCCTGCATGCTTGCATTTGTGTGACATTTCCTTGCCCATGCAGCGTGGGCCCGAGGACTCTGCGTGTCATGCAGGGGGGGAGGGAAAAGCGCCTGCAGGATTCTCCCTGGTTCCTCCGCCGTCGCACCCACGTAGCCGTGAACGCATACGCTCCATTCTTCAAACACACTGATGACCCACGCAAACTACCCAAACATGAGCTCAAACAGCAGCTGCCAGAGCAGCCCCAGCCAAGCATGAAAAGATGCGGAACTTTCTCTGTCCTCCAGCCGCCTGCTATATTTAGACCTCTACCCATGGTGTGCTTCTGTCTTGCAGTGTTTCTCCTGCTGCACTGGCTTGCCTTTCACCCCTTTCCAATCTAGGACAAAGATTTACACACAAAAAAATATATATATACACATATTATATATACATATATTATATATACATATGTTTGTATATATATATATATACAAACACGCATATTTTCTCTCTTTCCCCCAAATCACGAGTGTAAGACAAGCCCTTATTTTTTCAGGCTCCCTCCCACAGTAGGCCACATTTCTGCAAGCCAACTGAAAAGACTGGATGACAGTTTTTGCTCAGCCCTGTCACGACAGATTAGGGAGGCAAAGACGAGGTGCTTCCTATTTGCAGGGATTAGAGTGAGGTAGAGGAAAAACAGCGCTATTCCTCCTTGGTCATTTTTTTTTTTCTTTTGGTCTACGCACATTTAGATATATAGGCAAGTCTACAAAGAAAATAAATAAAAAGAAAAAAAAACACAAACTACAAAACTTACGTAAGACCATAACCTATAAGTAATTTCAGGGCGTTAAAAGATTGAGATCTGTTGTATTTATTTATGTATTTTGATGGAGGAGCTGTCCATGGTGCTGTTGGTGCTCCACATCTGCAGAGGCTCATCATGTCAGCAACGAGTTGCATTCTGCCAGCCTGAGGGGTTAACATCTGGACTGTTAAAGAACAGGAATGTAGAGCAGGCTAATAATAATAATTATGCATTGAAATATTTAGAAAATTGTATGATTTTAATCCCTTTACAATCTAAATAGGTCCGATTTGTGTCCATATAGAGCCTATAGAAAATTATCATCGAATGAAATGCAGAGATATAGAGTCTCGAATTTATTTAGTTCACCCCATCTTATTAAAATGAATACAGCCAGGATCCTTTAATGCCTAATGGATTATCTTCCCTGTTCAGTAGCATTTAAAAAGAGAGGCAGCACATTTAGAGTAAAATATGGTTTCTTTGCATTTAGAAAATAGTGTTTTGCACAAAACGTTGTCTATTAGGCATTCACGCGAACAGGGGTTAGGATCTATTAGGCATTCACGCGAACAGGGGTGATAACATTTTCGGCCCTTATGATAGGGTGTCGAGCTGTGAATGCTTCGTTTCACAAATAACTGATTGGTTCCCTTATACTTGGGCAGATCGGGTTAAAGGAGTTAACAGGAATGTTTTTTATTATTCTGACAGCAAAATATATATATTTTTTAAATAGTTTCAGATTATTTCAAGAGATATTTTCCCCTTCTTTGTAATTTACATCTTTAGCCACGAATCATGGTGTTCCTTGGTGACAGCTGGCGCCATTCCTTTAGATCGCAGTATGGCAGCAGGTGAGATGTTTGGTGTTTTTATTCATGCATCATTTCATGGGAGGATTCTGAAGCTCTGCCACGCCTCTAACAGCCCGGATTTTTTTTTTTTTTTTTTAGGTCGTGATCACTCTGTCGTTAAACTCTCGCCGAAGGAATAAGCGTCTCTCTCCTGCCACCCGCGCGGTCCGGGAGCGTGAGGGCTGTGCCACTCTTTGCGGGCACGTGCACGCTCCTCGCGCCCCCCTCTCTCTCTCCCTGGTGCTGATGCTGAGACTACAACATCTCTACAGCACCACTAACTGGATTCTAAACTGAACATTTGCGATTAAATTGGGATTTTAACGACAACTCAGGATCCGTTTTCTTTGTGCTTCATGAAGGAGGGTGTTTTTTTCTTTGTTTGTTTGTTTTCTGGTGGAGTGACATGGCTGGAAAAGCCAAAATAAGCGGATGAGGATTTTCTGTGAAAAGAACAGCAACTGCGACGACATTCCAGAGCCAACAGGCATGGTTTTTAAATAGGAGCAAAAACAATCAATCATTCCACCTGCATGAGCTTTGGGAGGCCTAATCTGACAGGTTTTTTGAAGTGAAGAAAAACAAAATCTTAAATAGAAATGGCTCATTTAATACGACACAAGATCTCCAATAAACTGACCAATGCGGCCCACACGGTGTCTAACAAATCCCAGGCCAAGGTCAGCGGGGTATTCGCCAGGCTGGGCTTCCAGGCCGCCACCGATGAGGAAGGTCTGGGCTTCGCAGAGTGCGACGATCTGGACTATGACTACAGGCAAGGGATGCAGATGGATGTCCTTCGAGGGGAAGAGGAGGAAGGAGGAGACATGGAGGGAGAGGGGGAGCTGGAGGGGGACACCCGCTACCAGAGGGATGGTACCGGCCCGAGGCAGTCCACCCTGAAGAGCGGCGGCTCTCTGGAGGAGGACAAACCAAAAATCACGTCATGGGAAGCTGGATGGAACGTCACCAATGCCATTCAGGTACTTCTAGCACCATGTCCGAATGTGGACATGCCATGTGCTCAGAGCCAGCCCAAGGCACAAGCACAGCGAGCGGCCTGTGGGAGCCCACTTTCCCATCAGTGACACAAAGGGGATCACGCAAAACAAAATATGGGTTGTTTGTATATAGAAAAAATAAATTGATTTAATCAGAGCTCCTTTATGATTAGGCCAGGCGTTTGTTTGCTGTTGTTTAGGAGGGAGGATAGAGCAGCAAAACTTTTAAATTATCATCAAGATAAAAATCAAAATTAATTTAAGACCTTACAAACTGTGGAGGTCTTTTTTATGTTAGTCGTTGTTGAACCAAGCATTATTTATTCCAATGAATATAGGCCTCATGCTGATCAGATAGAAATAAAGCAGCACCATGAACATTTCACATGAGACACTGCAGATTAAAAAGACTAACAACTGCTCTACATTATAAATTATCTTCAAAAATAATTAATATAGTGCTCAATTTTAGTCTTTGCTGGTTGAAAAAAATATCCAGTAATATTAAATGTAGCTAACATGCGCAGAAAATGAAACTATAACCAAAACCAACTTGCATTAGAGCTTTAAGAAAGGTCTTCATTATAAATACCATAATGTATTTCAAATTAAATTGTCTGTAAGCCTTTTAATTTTTTATTCTTCAAGATGTTTTGCAAACCCTTTTTTTCTCCTGTCATTTTTTGATTAAAAAAAGAAGGATTTAAACTGGAAAATTTACACTATATAGTTAATAATAATGATTTTAAGTGACACTGAGAGACCCAATGGCATCCTATTTTGGGGATAAACGCAATCCATATGAGGATGGATATTTTTACCCCCTTATAAAAATTTCTTCAGGGCCACATGCGCTCGCTGCATTTTCTGCATGAGGCCTGCTGCTGAACAAAAGTCACCTTCACATTTTTTCAGTTTTTTAAATATTATCAAACATTAAGTATCCTAAATTAAGATTCGGAATAAGTTGGTGCAAGCAAAATGAAACAATTTATTGGTTTGGATTTTTTTTTTTTTTTTTTTCCCCTAATTAAATGCAGACAATTTCACGGTGCTTTGGTGTCTTGTGAGAGGATGCACCGCTCTGAGGGGCTCCATCCCTTTATTTATTCAAATCTTTTTATCAGCGGAGCTTCAGGCGGGGTCTGGTTGACATCGATTGCCTCAAGGCTCGCTTATCGAGGTTTTAATCAAATTCTAATTACAATCAAATAAATGTTGAAATTTCAACATTTTTAATCTGTTTGCATATTTCAATTTGATGCGGAAATCCACGAGGAAAAGCATCATAGTTTGCATTTTTATTCTGAATCTGATCCGATGAATGTTGTTCTTATATAAGATGGGAGCTGTGTGAGTAAAGCGCTGCATGCCTGCGCTGATCGGCCTGTCACTGCGATCTGGGCCTCGTTTATTATCACTGAGCTGCGCTCCTCTGTCTGCAGGGCATGTTCGTCCTCGGCCTGCCGTACGCCATCCTCCACGGTGGATACCTCGGCCTCTTCCTCATTATCTTCGCCGCGGTGGTGTGCTGCTACACGGGCAAAATCCTCATCGCCTGCCTGTACGAGGAGAACGAGGACGGCATCAAGGTGCGCGTCAGAGACTCCTACGTGGACATCGCCAACGCCTGCTGCGCTCCCCGCTTCCCCGCGCTGGGCGGCCACGTTGTGAACGTGGCCCAGATCATCGAGCTGGTCATGACGTGTATCCTGTACGTGGTGGTCAGCGGGAACCTGATGTACAACAGCTTCCCCAGCTTCCCCGTCTCCCAGAAGGCCTGGTCGGTGCTGGCCACGGCGGCGCTGCTTCCCTGCGCGTTCCTGAAGAACCTCAAGGCGGTCTCCAAGTTCAGCCTGCTGTGCACGCTGGCGCACTTCGTCATCAACATCCTCGTGATCGCCTACTGTCTGTCCAGGGCGCGCGAGTGGGCGTGGGAGAAGGTCAAGTTCTACATCGATGTGAAGAAATTCCCTATATCCATCGGCATCATTGTGTTCAGCTACACATCTCAGATCTTTCTTCCCTCCCTGGAGGGGAACATGCAGAAGCCCAGTGAGTTCCACTGCATGATGGACTGGACCCACATTTCAGCCTGTGTCCTTAAGGGCCTCTTCGCCCTGGTGGCCTACCTAACCTGGGCAGACGCCACCAAAGAGGTCATCACAGATAACCTGCCCTCCACCATCCGGGCTGTGGTCAACCTCTTCCTTGTGGCCAAGGCGCTCCTGTCCTACCCTCTGCCATTCTTTGCAGCTGTAGAAGTTCTGGAGAAGTCAATGTTCCAAGATGGTGGCAGGGCCCTCTTTCCTGACTGCTACGGCCCCGGTGGGCAGCTAAAAACCTGGGGTCTTGGCTTAAGAGTAGGCCTGGTTGTCTTTACCCTGCTAATGGCTGTCTTTGTCCCCCATTTTGCCTTGCTGATGGGTCTAACTGGAAGCTTGACCGGTGCAGGCCTGTGCTTCCTCTTACCGAGCCTCTTCCACCTAAAGCTCCAGTGGAGAAACCTCCTGTGGCACCACGTTTTCTTTGATGTTTCAATTTTTGTTATCGGGGGCATATGTGCCATATCAGGCTTTATCCACTCCATCGAAGGCCTCATAGAGGCCTACAAGTACGACATCCATGACTGAGAGCCTCATTGACCATCTGACATTAAAATGGAGAATAATTTGTGTGAAATGTATATCTTTTTATGTTTGCCTTAGTGATAATGTGCAATAATGAACTCTATCCAACGATTAGGCACAACATTATGACCACTGAGAGGTAATTTAGTGGTAGATGGGATATTTTTGAGTGAACATGAAATGGGTTTAAAATGGGTAAAATGAGTAAGCATAAGTATCTGAGCAAGTTCTGCAAAGGCAAGTGGATCAAAGCTTTCCAAAACTGCAGCTCTTGTGGGGCGTTTCCCACCTTCAGTGGCAGTTTTTCATATCGTCCATACTGATTGTTGCCAGAGGGTTAAACAGATGAGTCCCATGTATATCAGATTGATGAAAAAGGTAAGCTAGTTACTCTAAGTATGTTGGAAACCCAATCAGAACTGGGCCACAGAGCAGTGGAAGAAGGTCGGCTGGTTTGACAAATCTCAATTTCTTTTATATCTGCTGGACAGAAAAGTTTGAAGCCTAGCAATGGGAGACTTTGTACCAGTTTGCATTGGTTCTCACACTCACACTATTTTTTAACAAGTCACTACAGGAAAAGTAAATGTTTAAAAAAAAAATTAACATTGTGCCAAAAATAAAACTGACTCAAAATCCAACATGGCTGCCAAGTGTTTCAAACAGGCAAAATGCTGTGATAATAATTTCTTTATGAACATCCCTGACAGCCTGTGTGTCATTTGATATTATCTGCACATAAAGGACTATTCCACCTTTTTATAACATTTTCCTTTTGGGATTTAATGCCTGTCATGAAGGAACGTAGGATCTTAGCCTGTGTTGGTAATTTCAAGTGGCAAGGCTGGCTATAGAATAGAATAGAATAGAATAGAATAGAATAGAATAGAATAGAATAGAATAGAATAGAATAGAATAGAAAATTCCTTTCTTGTCCCACAATGGGGAAAATCTGCTGTTTACAGCAGCAAAAAGATTATAGAAAAAATGGTCACACAAATATGGACCTTAGAAAAATGTTTAAGAATAACATAATACTGAAGAGTTATAAGATAAACAATAAAATAATCTACTGTTAAGTGTTTTAACAATATAAATCTGTGCACCTGGAGAATAAATAACCAATACAAAGGAGATTTTTACAGTAATGGATATTTGAAAATAGCAGCAACATCAGAGACGTGCAAAATGACAGCCGCATGTTAAATAACTGACTAAGATAGAAAGCGTGCAAAAATCAGCATAACTGTAACAACTTATTGAGTTATTGGGAACATTGGTGGTCATAGTCTTACAGCTGCTGGGAGCAAGGATCTGTGATAACGCTCCCTAGCGCTAACTACGATTAGCAGATTCTACTGGTTTTCTTGAAACCCTAATATAGCTGACTTAGGTTTGTTGTTTTTCCTCACACTGAATTCTGACTTCAGATGGAAATTAAACATCCTCAATGTAGGTGGAGTAACTTGCACTTTTCCCCTAACAATCATTGTGTGATTCCTCTGGAAGGCAAAGATCATTGAGCTATTACTATTGTTTGGATTTATAAGCTTGGCATTAACATTTTTCTAGGTATTTAATTTACTATCAGTTAATGCTAAAATGCTCTAAAGCCTTACCATCAGTTGTGCTCGTACCACAGTTTGATAAGTCTGATGCAATAAAAAAGACTAATTTCACAAACAGTGTGTTGTTTTAGACAATTTCATACTTAAAAGCTTTAGGTCCCTTCATCTATACCATAGAGACCTCCAAACTGCGACTATATGGAGATACTACAGCTCACATTCAGGGGTCCAGGTGGTCATAATGTTATACCTTATCAGTGCTGTGTAAAGTAGTTTGCTCATTCCAGGAAAAGTGTGTTATTCAGTGGACTGAGGAGAAACATTCTCTGCACCTGAAGAGGGCATTAAAAACTCTGTCCTTGTGTATATCTTTATGCAAAGATTCAGTGAAACATGTCAGTGTGTGTATGTGTTTAATCTGAGGAATGAAATATATGGAAAACAATGAAATTAATATGTTATTGCTGTTTTTTTTTTTTTTAAACTGCCATAGGTATCAATAACCAGAGAAAACACCAGGCAGCCATCAGATCAGATGGTGCTCTATAAACCATGAATATCTTCTGTGTAGTGGTCTGAACAGAGTGAATACTTCTCTGTTGGGATTTGTAGTTTCTTTTTTTTTATTCAACGTTCTAATGCCGGTTGAAGTACTTGTTTGTTTCCTCTGTGTTTTTAAGTGTCATTTTGGATGGAGTGAATTCAAGTGCAAGCAAGTGGATCCTAATTGTCTTACATAAAACAAATAAAAAAAATGTGTCTGATAATATTCTGTTCCTATTGAACGTGTTCATTGTGAATTAATGGAACTTATCATGGTGTGTGAGATAAAGAGTATTGGTTGACTTAACAGATAAATAAACCCAATATTTTATGGCTGGTGACTCTAATTGTTCTTTCCTTAGAATCATTTTTAATTTTTGCAGAACTATTCTGAAATTCCTCTTTGGGTTAGTTAAGCTTCCTTTTTTTGTAGTGTGTTTCGTTTCTGACTTTCCAATGTTCTAAAGTTTCTACACATTTGAATGAAACAAATGCTTAGCCAGCCTAATCCCAATGCCACTGATATTTTAAGTCAGGAAGGATAACATTTTGAATTTTGAGGATGATTTAAGAATCTTTCACGGTTACTGTTAAACAAATTGTCCTAAACGGCGGTAAAACAATAGGCTGATTGTATTTATTTGTGTTAAGTTTCATGCAGAGGTGGTCCTGTGTAAAATGAACTGCCCCCCTTTAGAAACTACTTTCAGTTCCTCTTTCCACTTACAGACACTTATATCTGTTGCTATTAGATGTCAGCCAGTTTCACTTCTCTGCAGTACAGTACAGGAATCAGGAGTTGCATCTCTTTGCTCTCTTTAGAAACAGTCCAGGCAAAAAGATACGTTCTCATTCAGGTCGAGCCTTTTCTTCAGAGCTTTTTCATCTGCTATCTGTTCCTTGTTTCAGGTATGCTTTTATTGTCATTTTTGAGGGAATTTTTAAGAAGCTTTAAAAATAATCTAAAGGTTTTAGTCATTGTTTAAACTCATTTTGTGCTTTCATTTTGAAGGTAAGACAATCTTGGAAAAGATGCTTCTCTCTGTGACTGTATTCCTCATGCTCATGCCGTGCTCCTGGGGAGAGAATCCTGCCGTGCAAGTCATCCTGACAAACAAGGGGCTACAGTATGGTAAGGGGATGTGTGTCTGTAAGCCTTTCCATAGCTGTATGCGGCCCAAATTTATTTAATTTTTAATGGGGAGCTTCCAACTCCTAGCATGAGCCAAAGCTTAATTCTTTTGCATGATGCATCTAACATGATACACATTAGATGCATTATGTGTGTAACGTGACAACCTTCATCACCCTTATGCTGTTTATGGTGAACAACTACCACTATGGTGTATGTCTCACTGAAAACCTCATGCCTACTTTTACACAAAGTGGTGGCAGCATCATGCTGTGGGATGTCTTTCTTAAACCGAGAAAGCTATAGACCAGGGGTGCTCAAGTCCAGTCCTCAAGAGCTACCATCCTGTAACATTTAGAGGCATCTCTTCTGTAACACACCTGAATCGAAAGGCTCAATCCTCTCATTTAGCCCAGCAGTGGCATGGTAACGAGCCACTCATTTGATTCAGGTGTGTTAAAAATGGGATGCAGAAAAAAGTTGCAGGATAGTAGCTCTTGAGGACTGGACTTAAGCAATCCTTTTATAGACAGACAGATAATGACATGAAAACCTGGTATGGATGCCCATCCGGCTCTGCTATGCTTGCATTTGCAGGTAAACACGTGGGAACTGGATGGGTTCAAGACAAGTTGAAACAAATAACCCTCCCTGACATCAGTGGTAGTGTAAACATCTTTATTGGAGAAGTACACTACACATTATCAGGGTAGGATCATGTTTATAACAGTTGATGAGCATTTCTTCTACCTTGATTGTCGATCCCAGTTTTTTTTTTTTTTAAACAGCTTTTGGTTTTCACATATTTCATCTGCACCTTATTTTATTGGCCTGTTTGACTGAAAATTCACACCTTATTCTCTCCCTTTTAGTGTGACTATTAAAAAGTGTGACCTCCCAGAGCCTAATGTTGAGTTCTTCAAAAGTATAGGCTTGAATACATCCATCACTGGTCTCAGTTTTGCTGCTAGTGGTGAATGGAGCACACGGTTTGGTGTAATGTGAGTCTTCTTCTCTTTTTTTCTGCATTCAATTTTAATAAGAGCACAAGTTACCCCTCCTCCCTAAGAGCTGTTTAACTGCTTTTTAGATGGTGTAGAATGACTTTCTAAGAGAGATTTACACGCTGTGTGTTCACTTAGGCAGGTTCTCATTCAGGTCAAGACATTTCTTCAGAGCTTAGGCGGTTCACTTGTTTACAATCAAAACAGTCGGGGAATTTTTTTAAGTTTTGTTTCTGCACATCAACTTATAAATAAAGAGAACCTTGTGATTTCTGTCACTTCCTCTTTTTCACATCAATATTTCAAGTCATGCTGAATGGCTAAAATTCAAACAGAAAATAAAGTTCAACCCAGCCTTAGAAAGAATCAACGTAGACCTCTATGTATTTCATAGGGATTTCATGTAAGAGGCTGTCATAAAATTGAAGAATTGAAATAAAAAAAAAAGTCGTTTTTAAATTATTCTACAAAGAAAACTGTAGCATGTATTCTATGTTTTAGCCTCAAATGAGGTAGCTTCATGATACAATTGGGTCCTTCTGTTTAAAACTGCAAGGTTGGAATCCTCAGGTTGTGAGTTCGAAACCCATTCCCACAGACTACCACTCTGGCTCTCTGAGCAAGACCCTGAACCCACTCCGACAAACTGGCCACCCCTGGGTGCTGCACAATGGCAGCCTACTGCTCCCAAAAGGGAATGCGTTAAATGAAGAAAGTTCATTTCTCCATTGTAAGATCGATAAAATGCAATTTGTTTAGTTAACAACATACCACTACACACAGATAGTACATTTCTAATTGAATTATGCATGCATGAACTTCCTCCTACGAAAAGACATGAAAGCCAAACTACTCTTTAAAGCATGAATATGTGCGTGATGATCATGTCTCAGTAAAGAAGCTGGAAAGCCCGCATTGGAGAACCTGAGACTCCACGAGTTTGGCCCAGTGATGACAGAAAGCTATAAAAACTCACGTAGCTGATTCCCAATATCTATGTAGCTGACACAGCTGATAAGGAAGAAGCTGTTCTGGTCAGGAGAAACCAAAATTTGGCCTTAAAGCAATGCCTTTATTGGGGAAAAAAAAAAAACTCCAATCAACATGCTGAAGCATGTAGATGGTGTGTTCAAGGTAGATGGCAACAAATACAACAAAGCAAATACAGGTTATTTCATAAAAACAGCACCAGTATGCCAACAGACCTCTGTCCATAGGTGAAATTTTGATCAACATTTCTAATCTCCTTCTGTTGGATCCCCAGACATGACGGTGGATCATTCGACATGGCTATATTCAACATTGGTCTGATCTCTTATGTGAAACTGAGAAATGATGCTAAGGGGCATCTGTTTGCCACCAGCATCGGCTGTGATGCTTCAGTCGGTGACGTGATCCTCAATTTCTACGGTGGAGCTAGGTACTGAAAAAACAAAAAAAAAACATGGAAGGATTTATCTAACTCACAACCATGCCTGGATATAAAACCTTTTCCTTTCTGTGTCTGCAGTATTATTTTTAAGCCATTTATCAAGTATTTCAAGGGACATATACTTAGGAAAATACAAGAGGCCGTATGTATTTCAGCACACCATGATTACATAATTTATATATTAATCAATTCATATTACTTAACCGAAGAACACTGTCATGTGCTGAAGTTAATACTGATTATGGGATTTTTTTTTTCTCATCAGATCTGTCCTGCGGTTAGGACAGCCATAATGGAGTTAGACCTCCATCTACTGACCATGAATGGTAATGAACATCATAAAAAAGTTCCAGAAAATGTGATGAAATTATATTTATATGGAATTTCAACATAAGTAATGTATGTCGTCTCAGTTTCCTATAATGTGAATGAGGTTCTCAGTCTTGACGTCCCTCTCTCTGGTCTACCTGTCATTGGTGCCTCAAACCTACAGTTAGGATTCAAGGTAATGTTATACAGCAGAGCATCAAACCCAATCTCTGGGGCAGATTGACCATAAAACCATATTTTATGACAAACGTATGATCTTTTATGTCAAAGGGGGAGTTCTACAGCATCAAAACTCACAAAGAGCCTCCCTTCGAGCCCCAGAAGTTCATCCTCCCTGCACAGGCAGGCTATATGCTGTCAGTGGGAATGTCTGAGTTCACTCTGAACTCGGCCTCCTATGGATACTTCTCAGCTGGAGAGCTTCATGTCCTCATTAACGACAGCATGGTCTGTGCATCCGCAAAGAAAAAGCAGAAGAAATTTGATGCATTTTTATTTAATTATCTCTTTAATTATTGTTTTTCTGTTACGAAAAAACATTTCATGTTTTCAGATACCTCCTGGTATTCCTTTCCACCTGAATACCTCCTCAATGGGAAATTTAATTCCTCAGGTAGGTTTATCCCTTCTGAGTGAGACGTATTTTCATATGCAATCATTACATTGTGTATTTCAACATAATTAAGCTGCAGGTGACACAGTCACAACCACCAAAGCTGTGATTTATTTCACCAACTATGATATTGACAAAGACGTGTCTCCTTCTAAAGATTAATGTTGCAGCTCAATAAAGTAAATAGCAGAGAGAAATATAAATAGCTTTTAAAAATTTTCCACAACAAAAAACGGGTTTGCATTTTTATTTAACCCTCTTTATTTCTGTGAACGTGAAAGAAATCTAATTTAGCCACCTGTGCTCATAATCTATCCAATTAATAAACTAAGTCTGCCCACTTTTGATCTAACCCATATATGAATTAAAGTGTTCACTGATGGTCTCAGATGTTTATTAGAGAACATGAGGAAGAACAGCATCAGGAAATCCTAACAATGTTAAGTTTTTGTAACAATATTTTGAAAATTTGTGGAGAAATTAAGAAGCAATAAGAAAAAATAAGCAGGAGATCTAAGGTTGCTGTGGAGGATAAGAAATATTGCAAACTTCACAATGACAGTACTTTGCTCATTATTAATGTTTGAATATAATTTACATTTTAAACATTTTGGACACTTTAGGAGTATTATGTTTCGACACACCTAAACAAGACATTTTAGAGCCTAACTAAGCTCTCAAAATATGTAAAAGTATTTTTTGACATACAAAGACTTTTTTGCGATACAGTTAGCCCTACAGAGGCTGGCATCCCATAAAAATACACCACTACTGTGATGATATAAATAAGAGCTTCAATGAATTTGATCTCCCTTAAACAGCTTGAAGTATTCTATCATAATTCAAACTAAAAATCTGTAACTCTCTCTCCGTCCAGCTTCCTAAGATGTTTCCAGGTTTGATGATGAATCTGAATGTTTATGCCCGAGAGGCTCCGCTGTTTTCCTTCCAACCCGGCGTCACGACCCTGGGGGTCAAAGCCAGTGTGAAGGCCTCTGCTATTGAACCAAATGGTACTCAGGTCCCACTGTTCACACTCAACATTGTGAGTTCTTCTGTACAATCTTTATGATAAGGTGAACTAAAATGATAAATAGGCTTATTGTTAAATTTTTTTTACCTTGAAGGATTTGAGTGCCTCCTTTAAAATGGTGATTGGTAAAGGAAAGCTGATGGGCTCTATGGCAGTGGATAAGTATGCATCAAATTTGAACAGAATTAAATATTTGACTCCTTTTCTTTTAGCACAGTTAAAGTAACAACACTGCCCTCTTTTAGCATTACCCTGAGCCTTGCCTCCTCTGAAATCGGAGACTTTAAGGTAAGCTGTGCATAATTACGAGTAGATTACTTGTTGGTTATGGTGCAAAACGGTGCATTTTTGTTTGCAGGTTGATCCGTTGGAGACCTTAATGAAGACAGCCGTGCGTCTTGCCCAGATGAAAGTGAACTGTAGGTTTCAGTTTAATCTCTTTGGACCACATGATTCATTAATGATTTCTACTTCCTTAACTTTTAAGATTTAGTAAATACTACAAATATAATTCAAATAACCACCTTCTTTGTGTCGGTTACCACTGCAGATTAGTGGTCTCTAAGTATTTGTGTCTTGAAATCTACTTCTTTGTTTCAGTAATACTGGGTAAGGGCATTGTTTTACCGAGAATGAAATATGTGCAGCTGGTTAACACAGTACTGAAAATGGACAAGGTAAATTGTTAATGGAAGAAAACCTTGAAATGTCACTAGAAATTATCTTAATGATCATTGTTTGTTGTCCAAACAGGGGTTTGTGGCCGTTTTTTCAGATGTGGAGACTCTGCAAACAGACAGAAACGACTACATCTAAACATCAAATATGCAAAATCACTCTTTGTTTTCTAGGTTGATAATGAAATTTTCTCCAGATTGAACTGATCCGAATGTTTTTCCACCAGATAAAAGCACTTTTTAATGATTCAACCACATCTTTCCAAGACTTGCTATCAGATACTGAATTAACACATTAATAACTATGTCAAATTATAAACAAATCTGGTAATTAATACAACTGATCAAAGACCTGAAGTCTGTAATTGTTTAATAATAAATATTAATATAGGTCCTACATGGTGTCTTGCTGATTTATTAAAATTCTCAACATCTCCGCTCTTCAATTCTCTAGTTGTGCCAATAGACAGACTGATTCATTTTCACTTATGAATAAAACAGGTTATTTTACTGAAATGTCTGTATCACTTTTATAAGTAGATACGAGTGGCTGCACAGCTAACAACAAATCAATGACTTCCTGTTTTCCTGAACCAAGAGTCTGACGTGAGGCTTCAATCTTTATGTGCTAGAGAACTCTTAACTTTGTCACCACAGAGCAGGAGGATGAGGCAGATACTGGTTTCCTCCAAAGGTTTCTGTAGGAACCACATCAAAATGTTCACCAAGTCTCCAGAACTAAGAAATCTGTTTATCTGCTAAGCCTGCTCTCTTTTTCTGTCCCATCATCATTACAAAGTAAAATGTTTTCTGGTCAGATTAGACTACCGTACAACTGATCGTTTGGGCAAGAGATGAAAGGTCTAGTTTATGAGGAAATACTTCATGCCCCTGTAAAGTATGCTGGAGGATGGTCAATGATCCACTGGACTTGTTGCTTACTTAAAAAAAAAAAAAAAAGATTTTATTACGGTTGCATTAAAGCTGATATTTTTTTTTTTTAAGACAAAAGATTTGTTAATTAAAAAACAGACTTCACAGCCTAAATAAAACCATGACATCTCTTTATTTTGAAAGCTTTCAGTGCTCAATCAATAGTCTCTGGTACATGTTAACATTCTTGGAATGTAGCACCATGAAAATATAAATATGAGTCTATTTACAGCCAATGTTAAAATGTTCCCCATAAAAAAAAAAAAAAAAAAATAGTTCTTCCTTCATGAAACAAGACACTGCGTGTTCAGAGGAGGATGACGCTTAATGAAAACTAATTTAAATATTTATAGATTTTGAAGTGGTGGGAGTGAAAAAGACCAGCATGAGTTCGATAAAGACTGACAGGGACGGTTGGATCCTGTTCAACTTCCTGCATGCAGATTTTCATTTCTATAAATGCAAGTTTCCACAGTGAGACAAAGAGGGAAGAACATGAAGAGATCTAGGTGGTTCCAATGCATCCACCGTCTTAACCTCAAAATTCAGTCGGAAGTAAATCTTAATAAAAACATGACCTTCCTTTATTTACACCTCTAAACCAACGGCTTCGAGACGTGAGCATTTTAACAGTCTTAACAACAAATAAAATAACACTGACATTAACACACAGGAGGATGAAGCGGTCGAAGCGTACAGGGAGGTTAAAGGGTAAATAAAACAAGTTATAGTTGTGTCGTTAGAAGTGATTTTGGCACAGTCAATACAGACGACTTTAGAGCATGAACAGAACACCGCGACCCCACATCCATTTCCTAACATGTACCCTTCAACAACTTTCTTCCACCTGATGTTTACATACTGAAAACAAGTTAAATATTCAAGTATGAACATTCCTAAAGTTTAACATGTAAACCGTACAGCTTAGCCTCATTGTAAAAGAGAAGAACACACTATTTGAAACTTTCCATAAATAGATCAGAAAAACACAGAGAGAAAAGATGGATCAACACTGCTGATAAAAACCAGCGCCTGCATCACATTTTTAATCAGCTGGAGAATCTCCTAGCAAGTCAAAGCTGCCTTTCTCTTATGTGCAATAACAGGTTCTGCTCATGGGGCGTTGGTTTAATTTGGACCCCTGCAATTAGAGGAAATCTGCAGTCAGAGAAGTCTAGCTCCTATAGCTACATAGAAAATCTGCCTTCTCTCCAACTCTACAACCCAACTAGAAACCAATTCAGACAGAAACTAGAGAAACGTAACCTGACAAAATGAACCGCTGTTGAGATTTTTACCTTCCAGTAACTAACAGCCTGTCTGCTCTAGTAGAATTCAGAAAAAGATGGATCTCAGTAGCACAAGGACAGCCCATACTATCTAAAAATGTGCTACACCTCTTTGTGGAGGTTTGAGCTAGCAATGAAAGGCTAAAGACAGACCAGGGGGTGAAAACGGTGACTATTCTGAGTGGACTTGTAGGCACAGCGTGAATCATTTTGAAAAACATGGCTACATTACAGAACTAGAGACTTAAGAGCTTTAAGTTCTGCCTGATTTAAACCCTGTTTTTGTTTGTTAAACTTTCTTAGTGTTCCCTGTAAATGTCCACAGAGACAGTTGGAGGAAAAAAAAGTGCAGAGTTGCTGAGAAGAACAGATGTTCTTATGGAAAGTACATATAAAAATGTTGGGGACCAGAGGAAGGGGCTGCGAGGTTTGAGGTCGTTTGGCAGGTTAGGGCAGGGGACCCCTTTAAAGGGGAAGATGTCCGAGTCTGTCCTTCAGTGGTGCAGAAGTAGGCAGATGATAAAAAGAAATGCTGGGGTCATTTTTCTGTAACGGCTGCTGCCATTGGAACACGCATGGAGCCCCGCGCAGTTGCTGCCAGCTCCTCGATCTCAGTGTTCAACCGCCTGATCACCCACTCCATCGCCTCCCGACCCTGTAACAAGATAGTTTACACAATTAAAATAAAAATTTTAAATTTATTTTTTTATTTCACGGTAGCTGATATGGAAGTCCCAAATCTCATTGTATCCGTTGCAGAATATAATGACAATAAAGGCTTTTTTGACTTTTGACTTAACAAACAAGGAAAGACTGAGACATTAGAAGTAAGAAAAGCATCAGGTCAGCTTTGCTTTGGTGGAATAGAAAAAGGACAAACACAAACAGACTCACCTTATTAGCATTTACAGATATGGTCTTAGCCATGAGTCCCTCTAGATAGCTGCTCAGACTGACACCCTTCACACTGATCAGCGCCTCCTGAGTTAACACCGTTCTAGAAGCAGAAAATAAAGCAAATGCAGGTAATTGAAAGAACATGAATATTTATGTTTGTAGTTTTATGGAGTTTACAACCTTCATAAGGAAAATTGGAAAAAACAAACAGATTTTGGTCAATTTGGTGCTTATATCAGTGAAATTCAGCTCCAGTCTTTAAAGGACAGTGTCCTTAAAAGATGATTCTCTGCTTTTAACACACAAGTCAGGGCATAACAATGCAGAGAGAACCTTGAACATGCAGGACATCACTAACCTGACTCCGCCAGATGGATTTGCTCCGCATATCCATCTGGAAACCTTCCGTTGAAGTAATTTTGGGACGGGGCGAAAATACTGGTTACCTGATTGGCCGATGTTGGTGATAGACGCGTCACATAAAC